AAGAACAGCGGGGCTCCCTGAGGTACACAGCTGCCCTCCTCAGCCGGCCGTTTTAGGGGGTGCCGCCTGGCCATGCGAGGTTAGCTCTGGATCAGCAGCAGCTTGTGGACACGTTTTGAAAGAGTCAGATCCACAGAGCACCTTGGAAAGGCGTCCTCTGCAAGGGAGGGGCTGAAAGCACAAGAGTGGCCTGCCTGGTGGACAGTATTGCAGCACTTGAGGGCCTGCGGCTGTGATTCCCAGGCGGGGTGGAGGTGCAGGAGCATGGCAGTCCTCCATCTTGGGCATCTCCTATGTGCTAGACCCTCTGCTGGACAATGGGGACTTGAAAGTGGATAGGCCATGGTCACTGCCCTAGAGCAGCAGGAAGATCTGGAAACAAATCCTCCTGACATCATCGGTACTGGGTCTTCCCTCCAGCCTGTAAACACCACCAGCAGAGAAGAAATCTGAGTTCCTGCTGTGTCCCCAGCTCAGAGCCCAGGGCTGGCCCACAGTAGAAGCACAATACAGATCTAGTGGCTGGATAAATAAACAAGGCAGGCGCAGTGAGAGCCCAAAGGAGGAAACAAGTAACTCTGCTTGCAAAGTGTTTTCACAAGAGAAGCTGGAACTGGCCCTGAAAGGATAGGATTATCTGCACAGACAGCAGGAGAGGGAATCCTGAGCAGAGAGAGTATCACATGCAAATGCCTGGAAGTAGAAAACAGCATTGCCCGCTCAGGGAAACCCAAGGAGGCCACTGTCTTTTGAGCATAGGCTCCATGGAAGATCGTGCAAGGAGAGAGAAGGTTCACGGATTGTGTGCTGCATGGGAGGGCCTGAGTTTCTTGGTGGGACTTGCATTTAGAAAGCTGACTCTAAGGGCCAGGAGAACAGATCAGATCAGAATGGGTGGCAAGACAGGCTCGAAACTTGCTGTGCTCATCAGACAACCCAGCAGAGCCCTCCCAGGACCCCAGCGGCCCTCCGCAACCCCTGGTGCAGCACTGGCTTATAGTAAATCCTTCATAAATATTGGTTGACTTTTTTCGTGGCATAGCTGGGCCCTGAATCCAGGTCTTCTGATTCTTCCATTTCTTTTACATAAAGAGCTCTCCAAATATTTAGTCAAAGGGTTTTGGGTTTGGGTTTAATTCTTAAGCTTCAGTTTACTATGTCTTTTGAATTCTAGCTTTCAGCATTTCACCTGTTTGTAACAGAGGTTCAATCTTTTAAAAAATGCACTTTGGAACTAAAGATCAATAGAGTTTATCTTCAGGAGTGCCAGCAAATACTTGCTTTTTCAAGTCATTGCTACTCAGAACTAGGCTATTTAAATAATTGTAGTGTTGAAAAATTTGTCATTCCTGCATTTTAAAATAATCACCTTCACGATTCAGTTTCTAAACTTTTCTGATGAAATGAACACACATGTTTGATTGAATTTGTATTTTTTAAAAAGGTATCAGGTCTAGTTTTTCTACCCGTGTTTGCAGGAGTATATAGAGGCAATAGATTTCACAGCTGACATAAGGATTATTATTAATCTAGGCCTCAGTGGCACCCAGCTGGCAGAGAGAGCTGACCTTATCTTTGATGGGTTCAAAACCAGTGATTTCTATCCAGTGCTCGGGGGAAGCACACAGCCGTGCCATCTCTTTGTTTTCTCCCTATTACAGAATCAGTTGCAAGGCCTCCCTCTTCTTAAGGCCCCCGCTTTTGGAGCTCAGCGCCTCTCCAGATGCCTGTGACATTAGTGCCATTTGATGGGGCAGCCACCTGGGGTGCCAGGCAGATGGGGCATCTGCCGAAAGAGGGTGTCCTGCTTGGCAAGGCAAGGCCACCCAGAGTCCTTGGACTGGCTCCACAGCTGTTCAATTATTCTAAGCAGAAGGTTTGGGCCTCAGGAAGAGAGAAGTAGAAGACCTGCTTCATCCTCCTGCCGTAGCCGCGCCCTGCCCTCCACACTGCCTGCTCTCCCTCCAACCTGGAACTTTAATTTTTCCATGAATAATTCATGGCCAGCAGCAGTTCAAAGCACTCTCCTTAACTCTGGGATTGTACTTTCACAAACACCAAAGCCTTAGGCTAAAGGGCTATGGCAGATTTCCAGACCTCTGACAGCCATTTAAAGAAGATCGAGGCTGGGCACAGTGGCTCGTGCCTGTAACCACTTTGGGAGGCCAAGGTGGGAGGAACACTTGCTTGAAGTCGGTTGCTCAAGACCAGCCTGGGCAACATAGTAAGACCCTGTCTCTACAAAAAAATTTAAAAATTAGGCTGGGCACAGTGACGGTAATCCCAGCACTTTGGGAGGCCAAGGCAGGCGGATCACCTGAGGTCAGGACTTTGAGACCAGCCTGGCCAACATACAGTGAAACACCATCTCTACTAAAAAAAAATACAAAAATTAGCTGGGTGTGGTGGTGCACACCTGTAGTCCCGGCTACTTGGGAAGCTGAGGTAGGAGTATGGCTTGAACCTGGGAGGCAGAGGTTGCAGTGAGCCAAGATCACACCACTGCACTCCAGCCAGGGTGACAGAGTGACACTATTTCTAAAAATTAAAAAAATATATATATATTTTTAAAGAAGACTGCAGGGAGGGGCATACCTTTTGGAGCCCTTAAATCATGACATGTTGAGTCGTGGGTACTGTCAGTGAGTGAGAGCACCCCTGCTTGGGGGCAGAACGGCACAGCTCTCCAGATACACTGAGCTGTTCTAAATCACCAAGTACTCTGTGTGAAAATACTTGGGTGTGGGTGTGTTCTGTGATGTGGCCCCTCACCTGACTAAGCTTGTTCTCTAAGTTTAGCTCTTTATCATGCAAGTGAGTGTATTTGAGTACATAATAAAGAGGCACATAGGAATATGTGAACTGGGGAGTATTTACTGGCACCCCATAGTGGGGTTCTCAAACCTGAAAGTTTCAATCATGGAGAATCTCAGTGAAATGCAGATCCCCATTCAGTTGGGACAAGCCAAGAATCTGCTTCTCTGCTAGGCTGTCAGATGATATGGATGCTGGTGGATCACTCTTGGAGCAGGGCTTCTCATCTTTGACTGCAGATTCCTATCTGTATTACTCCATTTTCACTCTGCTATAAAGAACTACCTGAGGCTGGATAATTTATAAAGAAAAGAGGTTTTATCGGCTCACAGTTCCACAGGCTGCACAGGAAGCATGGCTGGGGAGGCCTCAGGAAACTTACAATCATGGAGGAAGGAAAAGAGGAAGGAAGGAAAAGAGGAAGATCTTAAATGGTTTGGCTGTGTCCCCACCCAAATCTCATCCTGAGTTGTGGTTTCCATAATCTCTACATGTCATGGGAGGGACCCAGTGGGAGGTAATTGAATCATGGAGGCAGTTACCCCCATGCTGTTCTTATGATAGTGATCTCATGAGATCTGATTCTTTTATAAGAGGCTTTTCCCCCTTTGCTTGGCACCTCTCCTCCCTGCTGCCATGTGAAGGACCTGTTTGCTCCCCTTTCTGTCTTGATTATACACTTCCTGATACCTCCCCAGCCCAACGGAACTGTGAGTCAACTAAACCTCTTTCCTTTATAAATTATCCAGTCTCAGGTATGTCTTTAATAGCAGCATGAGAACAGACTAATACAATGCCCCACACCAATGAAAGAATCTCTGCGGGCAGGACCAGGATCTCAGCAGTTCTGCTCAATGATTATTGCCCAGGATGAGTTGGTGTGGTGTGAGGGGCCTGAGTGGGTGATGGGACTGATTCCTACCACTTTGGAAATTAACCAAAAGTATCTTGCAACCATCTCTGATAGTATGTGCTTTAAGACGGTGAGAGTTAAAATGAACAGTTATCTTTAACGTTACCAGCCCTGACGCTCCCCAGGACGGATCCAGTCCCTTAGGTCTGGCTTGCATGTGTCAGCCACAGAGTCTCAGCTGAAGCCCTCATGGAAGTTCTTGCTCTGCTCCATCCACCCTGTGCTCCTGTTCTTGACTGCACAGCCAGCTACCCTAACTTTCTTGACAAGGCTAATAGGACTGTGAGGAAATAGGACTAATAGGACAAGGCTAATAGGACTGTGAGGCGAAATAAAACTGGAAGTTTTGTCTTCCCAGAGAAAGGGGTTCTCAACCCTTGCCCACATGAGAATAACCTGGGTCATTCTGATTTAATGAATCTGGGACAGGGTTCACACCTTAGGGGAGTTTTAAAAGCTCCCATGTGATCTTAATGTGAAATCAGAGACTATAAGATAAAATCGAAATTTAAAAATTCTACATGTTTGTATTTTCATTGACATTTTTAGAACTGGTTCTAAAAATTAAAGGTGCTATTGAGATGATAAAATGTTGAAATGATTTTCAAAATACATATTTAATGATTTTTTTAAAATGTATTTTTTACAATCTGCATTCTCCCCCTCCCATTCTATACTTGGCATTTTTGAGGAAGCCAGTGGGCAAAGTGAAGGGACCCTGGAGCTGGATTTGGAGTCCGGCATTCCAGGAGAGGGAATTAGGGTGGTGTGTTAATGAGGGCAAGGCTAGCAGCACTAACAAGTAACACCCTAGCCTTCCCAGGTTTAAGGCAGGCGTTTGGTGCTCATAGACCTGTGCAGGTGGGAAGAGGTCAGGGTGGCCCTCCTCTGTGCAGTCAGGCTACTCCTCAGCTGTGGCTCCCAAGGTGGCCCGGGGCCTCTCCTGCCGCCTGCAGGGAGGGGAGGGGGAAGAGAAAAAGGGGTGGGGCTCCATGGGAAGGGCCTGGCTGGGCGGGGCCATGTGTGCTCTGCTCCATTGGCCAGAGCTCAGTCATGTGGCCCCTGCACGTGTGCAATGAAAGAGGCTTGGGTCCCAGTGGAGGACGAGTCCCAGAGCCCCAGCCTGAGTAAAGTGTGGGCACTGGGGCCGTGCCAGCCACTGTGCCTGCTGCCCTGGAGCTCACACTCCAGGCAGACGGGTCCTGCCGAGGCCGAGGGAGGCTCTGAAGAGGCTCTGAAGGGTTTGCGCTCTTTCTCTTCTTTTTCTCCACAGATATCGCAAACGGCACCAGTTCAGGGGGGTACCGCCCGCCTCCCAGAACCAAAGAAGTCATCATCAATGGCCAGACCGTGAAACTTAAATACTGTTTCACCTGCAAGATTTTCCGGCCCCCTCGCGCCTCCCATTGCAGCCTTTGTGATAACTGCGTAGGTGAGTAGTGCCCGGGCGGAGTCTGGCAGGAGCCCAGATCCTGCGGGTGGGCTCTGCGCCTCTCCAGCCCCGCGCCACGGAACACTCAGTAATGGTTAATATTTCGGCGCATTTGCATCTTGCCACTGATTGAGTTCACCGGGCCTAGAGTCACCAAATCTCTTTTTTAATCTCTTTACACCCTGCACCGCCCTTGGCTACGCCTCCCCCAGCACAGGCACCAGAACGGGGTCCTCTGTCTCCCAAGGCTGCCAGGTCAGCAGGCACTTGAAATAAAGTCATGTCGCCCCCAGGCCCCTTGATTGCCGCAGGGCTGGCCACACACCTACGGGAGGCACCCTTGTGCAGTCGTGTGTCCCGACTCCTCAGAAGGGCTGGGGGCGTTCAATCCCCAGTCCTTCTGGGGACAGGAAAAGAGGCAGGGTCCGGGAGTCTTCTCCCCCAGGGGCTGGAGTTAGGATCTGTATTCTTCCCGGAGAGCACCAAGGCCTCCCCTCTCTGCCTCCCAACTTCCGCCAGGACAGGCTAGGGAAATAGGCAGAGGGGACTGAGAGCTCAGAGATCTGCAGCTGTAAGGCTGGGCCCTACCACCGGCCCAGCACTGGCCTTCTACAAGTGACCCGGGCCCAGCCCCTGGGATTATTTGGCAAGCGCCTCTTGTCACTGCAGACTGAGAGCTGCTCCCCACACCCACAGACCCTCTTCTCTCTCTGGCTGGAGCTGCCTAGAGATGAGGTTGGCAAGGAGATGGCAGAACACCCAAGTGACAGGAAGGGAAGGAAGTAGAGGACAAAAGCTTTGCCACAGTGGGGAAGACTCGTAGCCTGCCTCTAGCGGAAGTGACCAGGAGTATTCCTGGGAGAATAAGCGATGGAAACCCTGTTACCTTATAACTGAAAGGATAGGAGTGCCCCTCAGAACAAACCTAACTTCCCTTAGTAACACAGCATTGATTGCCAACACTCTTCGGGAGTCTTAGAATTTGTAGTCTCAATTCTTCTTGAGAAAAATAAGATTTTATAATGTACGTCCTGCTGTGCAAAGCAGTCTTCCGTTTATTTGTCTTAAATTAACTTTACCCTAACTTTAATAATCTACAGTTTGGCACAAAGCTCATGTTTTCGCTATCAGGCCTCATCTTGGTTTTCTTAACGTAGATAAATTAATTTCAGCCTTGCCTCCCCAACAGAACGGTGTGGAATGTGTTCTGTTTCTCCCATGTAGGAAGTAGCTGATAGTTAAGAGCATGGGATCTGGCACTGCACAGCCTGGGTTCAAATACCAGCTGCGTGACAGGCAAGGCACTGAAACGCTGTGTGCCTCAGTTTCCTCTTCTCGGTAGTGGGGTTGATAACTGCCTGCCGCATGGGATGGTGGAGAGAATAAATGAATGAACAGGTGGAAAGTGCCTGGCATGTAGCAAACACTCTGTAACTGTTAGCTGCTCGTGCTCTTGTTACTCCTCCTCCCTTGATAGTTTTGATTGGCTTTCTCTGAACAATGTCTTGACCTTCTATAGATGCAATGACCAAAACTACACCTAGTTCTCCATGTGGGGGCACACCAGGGATTCTACAAGGACACACAACAACCTTTGTTTGAGCACCAGTACCCTTCCTGGTGACACCAGCCCCAGTGTCCGTTCCACACTTACCTTGGGGACAAATTAAACTGAAGGAGCACAGCATCTTAAATGTCTTTGGGGGAACCGTCTACCTGTAGGAGTTCTCAGCACCCTTTCTTGGGTTGTAATTTTGACCTCCAGGCCTGTGACATGATGGAACAGTGTGTGTCTTACACCTGTGCACATAAACTCTTCTGTCATTCTGCATGTCTTCTCCTGGAGGTCTAATGCCTTATTCTAGTCTGTATTTTGGTAGGTAGGGTGTTGTTATCTACAAAACTAAAGGTCTTACTGGGCACTGCCTTCTCTTTGTCATTTATAAAACTTTTTACTCATTTCTAAACACCCCCAGTGTTTCCACTCATTTATCCTCTGTTTCTTGTCTCTAGGCTAGATTTTTTTTTTCTTTTTTTTTTTTTTTTTTTTTTTTTTTGAGATGGAGTCTTGCTCTGTCATCCAGGCTGGAGTACAGTGGCGTGATCTCGGCTCATTGCAACCTCCACCTCCCAGGTTCAAACAATTCTCCTGCCTCAGCCTCTCGAGTAGCTGGACTACAGGCACATGCCACCACACCCGGCTAATTTTTTTGTATTTTTCTTAGAGACAAGGTTTCACCATGTTGGCCAGGCTGGTCTTGAACTCCTGGCCTCAAGTGATCCACCTGCCTCGGCCTCCCGAAATCCTGGGAATACAGATGTGAGCCGCCACTCCTAGCCTAGGCTAGATTTTTAATCACAGTCAAAACTTTCTTCTCAATCTCCTGTGACTTACTGTTTTAAAATTCCTTTTGGATTATTATCAGACATGTTCTGAAAGTTCATATAATCACATTTGTTCCCTCCCATTGCCCACAGGTGTTTATGTCCCTTAAAGAACCCTGATGAATGAAATGTAAAAGCCCCTTATCACAACTATGCCTTTGCCTGGTGACAGTGTACTTCTGTATGTGAGTGTTTCCAATAGGGTCCCCTTCTGTGCACTCTACCAGCCATGAACCTAGAAGCCACCAGTTTTCCGGTTAATAGGCCAGGAGCCAGGCCTCCATCTTTCTGATAAATCAAAGTCACGGTGGCCACCCAGCATCCGCAACCGAACATGGTGGTGGTCTATATATGGGAGACCCAGAACAGGAAGGAGAAAGGGAAAGGAGAGGAAGTGGGGAAGTTTGGAACGGGATCTAGAGGAGGAAAACTGGAGCCTAGGAGCACATCGCAAGCTGCAGCCTCTGAGTGGTGCTCAGGGCCAGCTCCGTGGGGGACAGGTGAAGGAGTAGCATATGAGTGATCTAAAGTAAAGCTGCCCACAGGGCTCCTCAAAACACCACCCAGTGATTGAAACCTGCATAGCTTCAGTTTTCCGGTTAATTATGGGACGCTTGGGCCTTTGGTTGACTGATGAGCAGGACAGCAGATTGGACCTTCTGCATTCAGGAAAATAGAGTGGAAGGCAAATGTCTCCCACTGAGAAGTGTAATTGCAGATTAGCCATGATCTTATTTTTAGATGGAAAGTTTTTACTGAAAGAATTCTTTTTGCAGCAAGGGAAATAGCACAGTGGTATGCTGAAAGCTGAGGTGGGAACTTGTGGCTTCCCTTACCTTGTAATGAGTGGGTTTGAGCTGGTCCTTCCCAAGCACAATAAATAAATGTCATTTAGCATGGGAGAGGAGAGAAGAAAAATGCAGCTTCCCAGGCCATTCAGAAGAGCAATTTTCTTTGCTGAATAAGTTTGAAAGTCATAGGGGCCTTTTCAGTTGAAGACTGAGGAAGGAGCTTTCTCTGGTCAAATATAGAGTTGATTGGCAGACCCCAGTGGTTGGGGACCTGGCTGGGAGAACACAGAGGCCAGGGCTGAATCCTGGTCCACTCATTGAGTAATACTGGAACCTGGCAAGTTATCTGAATGTTCCCAGCTGTTACCACATCTGTAAAATGGATGTGATCCTAGTGCTACCCCATAGGTTTCTTTTGAAGGTTAACTGAGATAGTGCCTACCACAGCACCCAGCAGACCTGAGGCACACTGAGGGGCCAGTAAGCGCATGGCTGGCCACTGATGTTCTCATCAGTGACGGGAATGCCGCTGTCAGTGCTCCCAAGTAATTGATTAAAACAAGAAGCGTCTTCACAAAGCAGTAGGAATCACCTTGTTTCTCTGTATCTGGAAGGATTTAGATGATCTGCTGTGATCAATGTGAATATATTTTCTGTCTCTCTCTGACGTTGTCCCTGTTGCCTGTTTCCATCTGTCTGTTCCTCTGAATCCTTGTCTGTCTCTCTGGTTCTCTCTGAGTCTTGCCATCGCGTTGCTTCTGCACATGTGGAACACAGCATTTGGGGTTGTTTATTTATCCAGGCGGGCTTTGAGGTTATGGGATATTTTTAAACAACCAACAGCTGGGGCCAGGGAGCCACCTCTTCTCTCCCAGATCCTCATATCCCTCAAATCATTAAAGCAAGAGAAACTGAAGGAGCTGAAGAGGCAAAACATGGGCCTGTGAGACCCTCTCAGGCTCACTACATATGTCCTAAAGCCTCAGGTGCATGCTGCCCTCGTTTTTCTGATGGGGAAGGCCCTAGGAGGGATGTCTGTCCTCTGGTGGGCCCTAGTCCAGTGTCAGAATGGCCAGCAGCTTTCGCTGGAATGGGTATTTTTAGTACAGCCTAAACCTTTAATAAAAAGGGATTTACGTGTACTAGATTTAATCACACACTGTGGACAAACTAATAAAAAAGTTTGCTAGACAGTAAGATGAAACACTGCCAGTATTTGCAAGCCAGTTATACAAGAGTCTACCTCACTCTGGCCAGACCCAGGCAGCTTAGTCTAGAGGCTCAGAGGTGGCCTCTGGAGGCAGCTGCAACCTGGGTCCCAGCCCTGCTGTCTCGTCTGGGCACAGGGACTGTCTCTGCACCTGCGATGCCACATCTGGAGGGGCCAGAAGACAAAGGAAGTAGTACATGGAGCCCTCAGGCTGTGCCAGCCCTCGGGGGACACCAAGCAGCACCAGCCTCCTCCCACATTCAGGACATGGCCTGGTCCCTTGTCTTCTGTCCTGTCATTTTTGGTGTGGGTGCCACAAAGAACCTCCAGGCACCCTCTGCAGGGACTCAGTGTCCAGTCGCTTTTATTTCTGGCAGGACTTTCCCACCCTCTTTTAACTCCTTACAAGCTCCCTTTCTCATTCCCCCACCTCTTTCTGGCTGTGCTCTTCCTCTCCCGGGCACTTGACTTCATCTTACTGCACACTCTGCCTTCTGTCCCACAGTGTCTCCCCCTTGTTGCTCTCACTGCTTCCTCTGTGTGTGGATTTCTGAGCTCAGACTGCAGATACCTTGTGTGTTGCATACACTCTGCTGTGTGCCGCCCTCAAGAAC